ACAGTCATGGGATCCACATTCAGATGCTTGACAGCTGACCCATACTTACGACAGTTGCAGTTTTTTTGGGGGGGAACGTGAGCCCTCCTGGCAAGCAAAGCCAGATTCACTTAACAACCATGTTACTAACTTAACAACCACAGTGGTTTACTTAACGAGTGTGGCAAAAAGGTCATAAGATGGAGCAACCACTTAGCAACAGAAATGTTGGTTTGACTGAAGTTATAAATCGAGGACTACTGGAATATCTGCGACATTGGAAAATGGAGTTAATTCATTTTTGGCACAAGTATATTTGAAGCTAGTAAAATGTCCTTAGCAAAACATACTACAACTCTGTGGATTGGGGGATTCTCCATTTATAAGGATGCTGTTTTATCCTTCCTCCCAGCTCCTGGGATTCAACTCACAACAGAAAAAGTGGATGGATGCCCTTGTGACTTTCCCTCAGGAGCCAATGGGATGTTTTTAGTATATAACCGGACAAAGGCATATAACACAAAGTAAGGACCATTGTAGCAGGATTATTAGATTTTGTAACAGTTTTGTTCCTTATGCCATCTGCCTTGTAAACTTGCAGGATTCTTTTTCCCCACCATCTATATGTGTACTTTCAAATTAGACTGTTGTTTCTCTGTATCTTATATGTGTGTGTATGCGTGTATATGTATGTCTTCTTTTGAGAGCTGAATGCAATGAAATTTCATTTTAGTCTATGCTGATTAGTGTATGTTTAAAGTGACAATATCTATTCTACACTACTCTATTTTATTAATTCTACTCTACTCTATTCCTATTCTACTCCACTCCACTACATTCTATTCTATTAATTCTACTCTACTCTACTCTACTCTACTCTATTCCACTCTACTCCATTCCATTCTGTTCTATTAATTCTACTCAATTCCACTCTATTCTATTCTATTCTATTCTATTCTATTCTATTCTATTCTATTCCATTCCACCCCACCCCACCCCACCCCACCCCACTCCACTTCACTCTATTTCATTCCATTCTATTAATTCTGTTCTGTTCTATTCCACTCCACTTTATTCCATTCTATTCTATTCTTATACATTAAGCAGCTCAACTTTATTTTTTATTTTTTTGCTATGAATAAAGAATGGAGGTGTAAGGAATTCTGTAACTGCAGATCCGATGTCAACCCAAGACCTTTTCCTGCTTGGCATCGGCTTGCAAGATTGAAGCCCAAACATTACTTCTACAAGCCTGAAAGAGACTTGTAACGTGGTCCTCCACATACAACCACAACACTGAACCCAACATTTGCTAACTGCTAAGCGAGACAATTAAATGGGTTTTGCCCCATTTTACCTTTTTTTGTCATAGTTGTTAAGTGAATCACTGTGATTGTTAAGTTAGTAATATGTCGTTAAGTAAGTCTGGCTTCCCCATTTACTTTGCTGGTCAGAAGGTCACAAAAGGTGATCATAAGAGTCCGGGACATAAATATGAATCAGCTGGCATGCCTCCAAATTTTGATCATGTGACCTTGGGGATGCTGTAACGTGCTTTTTTTCAGAGACATTGTAACTTTGAATGGTCCACTAAATGAACTGTTGTAAGTCGAGGACCACCTGTAGTAGTTTTCCAAATATCCTGACACATAAACCTGAAAATTTAGCCTTGGTTTTCCCATCCAAATAATGGTCCTGCAATGCAAGCTTAAGTATATAGAGTGGTGAAGACTTGCATTTAGATCAGAGGTCTCCAAACTTGGCGACTTGAAGACTTGTGGACTTCAATTCCCAGCTCTCTCTGGCTGCAGAATTCTGGGAGTTGAAGTCCACAAGTCTTCAAGTCGCCAAGTTTGGAGACCTCTGATCTAGTGTGTCACGGATGACATCTCGGAATTCCCATTCCTAAGGGAAGAGTAGGGAAAAGGACAGGTTTTAAAGTCAGGTAGGCAAGTAGGAAAGAGTAGAGGAAAGGACACTTTTAAAGTCAGGTCCCAAAGGAGTTTTTTTTGAAGAGGCAACTGGATTTTCTGGTTTTTCTTCGAAGATGTTTTTTGCTTCTCATCCAAAAAGCTTCTTCCATTCAGTTCATGTTTTCCTTGCAGGTGGAAAAAGAAAGAAGACTCAGAAAGTTAGCCAGGGCTCTCCTTGAACCTGGTTATCCACACAATTCTTCAACTCTCCGATGAGAAGCGGAACGTCTTCTAAGAAAATCCAGAAAGTCCAATTGCCTCTAGAAAAAGCACCTTTGGGACAACCATGGTAGTTCCTGGGGTTTTATGGAAATTGAAATCCTATTTTAGCTGGAGGACAGCGGAGTGGGGGAATATGAGCTACATCAGTGATGGCGAACCTTTTTGTTGTGGTGTGCCGAAAGCATGTGCGTGCCGGCACCCACAATGCAATGCGCCCCCCCTGCGCATGCCTGTGCAACACCACCGCCCTGCTCCTTTACCTGCACGGTGCCTGTGAGTATCTCCCAGCTGATTTTCGGCCCGTTTGAGGCCATTTTCATCCTCCCAAAAGCTTGAGGGAAGCTTCTGCAGCCTTCCGAGGCCAAAAAACGAGCCTTCCGGAAATACCAGAAGTGCCCCTTCTCAGCCTCTGGAGGGCCTCTGGAGCCTGGGGAAAGCTTATTTTCACTCACCTGGAGGCCCAAGGGAAGCCTCTGCAGCCTCGGGAGGCCAAAAAATGGGCCCATTTCAGCACTTCTGATATTTCCGGAAGGCCCATTTTTCAGCCTCTGGAGGCTTCCCTCGAACCTCTGGGAGGGCGAAAATGGCCCCAAATGGGCTGAAAATCAGCTGGGAGGTGTGCACATGCGCAATGCAGGTAACTTTGGCTGGGGCTTGCGTGCCCGCATAAATGGCTCTGCATGCCACCTGTGGACATAGGTTCGCCATCATGGAGCTACACGATAGCCAGTTGGCTGACAGATGACTTAAAAGATGTCCAGCATTAGCTTGCCCCAAGTTGCTATTGTTGGTTGTTGTTTTTTTTGCCATTAGAATGCTTCACTTCTGGTGACACTCAAGTCATTTTGAGTAGGCTGACTTAGCTTTGGTTAAAAACAGTCGGATCACAATAAGTCAGTATTTAGTATTCCAATATTAAAGGCCTGCCACAAAGATGAGGGGCTCAACTTATTTTCCAAAGCACCAGAAAGTAAGACAAAGAAACGATGGATGGAAACTAACCAAGGAGAGAAGCAACTTGGAATTCAGGAGAAACTTCGTAACAATGAAGACAATTAACCAGTGGAAAAGCTTTGCCTTCGCAAGTTGTGGGTGCTTCGTCACTGGAAGGTTTTAAAAGAAGAGGCTTAGACAGGCCCTTGTCTGAAATGTTATAGGCCGGGACTCCTGCTTGAGAAGGGGGTTGGACTAGAAGACCTACAAGGTCCCTTCCAGCTCTATTCCAACGGATTGAACAAATGGTTTGTTCAAATCACCCCAGAAAAAAAAGGACAATAAAACAGTTGCATAACGTGTGTGAGGGGTTAGCATTCCTAATTAAACAAAATTCATCTGCATATTTGGAAACAATTGGGATGATCATGAGGCATCAGAGAAAGGAGGCTTGCGTATGATTTAGAAATATCGGCGAGAGGATTATTACTCTGCTAAACAACTAATTCCCACAAGACTGTCAAACTATTTTACTAAGACTATTACTATTCTTCTCATCCTTTCTATTACCTATCTCCTCCCACTTATGACTGTTAACCTTGTTGCTTGTATCTTTACGATTTATATGGTTTTATTTAGTTTCCTAGTATGATTTTGATTGCTTATTTAGTATCCTAGGAGTATCACTAAGTGTTGTATCTTATGATTCTTGATGAATGTATTTTATTTTTTCTTATGTACACTGAGAACATATGCACCAAAGACAAATTCCTTGTGTGCCCAATCACACCTTGGCCAATAAAGTATTCTATCTATTTTGGGCCAGTTTATTTTCCAGTTCATCTTATAGTTATCCCTCCCCCGACCTCCAAGAATAACAAAAAGCTGGTTGCTAAAAGCTGAAGTCTCTTAGCCATTTCTCCCCTTGGGCATTTATTTGTCAAATAAAAGATTTTGTGTGTGTGTGTGTGTGTGCAATTCCCACTTTCACTGCATTCTCTCACACCACAAGAAACTCATGTTTCCACTATCCTTTACTTTGGGACTCAGTCTGTTTTCCCCATCATAACCTCAGCTTTCCCCGCAATTAATTTTCTTTCTTTTCCTTTTCCTTTTCTTTCCTTTTTTTTTTTTTTAAAAAAAAACTTGGTCACAAGATAATTCCTGACGCCAGAAAGTCTGGAGGTCATATGAGTAGCAAATTGAGGAACAAGGCGGTACTAAATCCGTACAAGTTTTTTTTTCCTTTTGCTTCCCCCGATGAAGGGGAGGCTGGGGGGGGGGGGGGAGAGAGGGAGAGATGTAAAAACCTTGGGAAACGTTATATAGCTTTTTAGAAAGAGGAAAGCTTAGGCGACAAGAGGAAGGCAAGAAGAAAAGAGGGGAGGAAAAAAAAATCTGGCTGTTTTCTATGGTCTTAAGTATCTGGCGCCCCTCTCGGCTCCGTTTCTCCCCCTCCTTAATCATCGTTATTTTAATGAAAAAGGAAAAGGGGAAGATGCCATCGACGTATCTTTTGAACAGAGCTGGACTTCACTGAATGGAAGCGGCGGGGAGGGGGGGGGCAGGGAGGGAGGGAGGGAAGCGGCGTTTGATGGCGGGCCCCGCCCCCTTTTGGCCATCAGCGCTTCCTCATTCCTTTGATGTCCTTCGCTATGTGGTGCCCGCCGGAGCCAATAGAAACCCGTCTAGGGCCTTGCGAACGTTCCATTCCAACCTTTTCGCTGTCATCCGAGGAGGGGAGGGGGAGGGCGCCCCGGCCTCATTTGCATAAAGAGGCGGGGCCGCTTCCTCTTTTCCCTCCCCCCGCACCCCGGATAAGACAAAAAGCGCCGCTGTCAGCGCTGCTGCTTTGCGGGGGCAAAAAGTGTCTTTAGAGAGCCGACTCGGAGTAGGAGAAGATCTCGTCGGAAAAGGTTTTTTTTTTTCCCCTCCTTTTTTTTCTTCTTCCACTCCCCACCCATCTCCGCCTGGTCGCCCGGGGGGGGGGCCCTGTGTTCATTTCCTCGCCAGCAAAAAAACAAAAACAAAAAACCCCTGCTCCCCCCTCCGTCCTCCCCAGTCCACCATGAAAGCGATCAGCCCGGTGCGGTCCGTCAGGAGCTGCTACGAAGCCGTGTGTTGCGTGTCGGATCAGAGCCTGGCCATCGCCCGGGGCAGCAACAACAAGAGCCCGGCTCTGGAGGAACCCATGAGCATCCTCTACGACATGAACGACTGCTACTCCAAGCTGCGGGAGTTGGTGCCGGGCATCCCGCAAGGCAGCAAAGTCAGCCAGGTGGAAATCTTGCAACACGTCATCGATTACATCTTCGATCTCCAGATCGTGCTGGAGGAGCAGGCGAAGAAGGGGCAGGAGCCCTCGACCGAGGCTTCGCTGCTCTCTTTAAAAGTAAGGGAAGGGGACCCTTACCGGGGCGGGGATGATGGAAAGAAAAAAAAAGCCGCGCAACGGAGGGAAGTTGGGTGGGTGGCTGGGACTCGGTGCCTCTAAGGGTAAACCTGCACACACACACACACACACCCCACTCCTCATCCCCTCGCCCTGTTTCTCTTTCCTACCCGTCGCGCTTGCTCTTAGAACTACAACACCCATCGTCCTCGGGAGGATGGAGAGAGTAGTACTGTCATGTGGATTCCGCGCGACGGCTCCTGGCAGCCCCTTTGCGCCGGTCCCCACGCGCGCCACTTGGGTCATGAGCCGCTTCCTTGGGTGGAGGGGAAGGTTCATTATCCCGGGTTAGTCCTGGAACAAAAAGCCCTCAGGAACTTATTTGGGCGATGTGGGGGGGGAGAGGCGTTGAGGACTTCCACTGCCCGCCTAAATTTGAGCGTCCACGAAACTCCTTTAAGTCCAGTTTCCTTGAATTTTTAAGTTGTTCTCTGAGAAGTTTTTTTTCAAGGGCTTGTCTTGGGTGGGGAGGAGGTGGAAATGAGGGAGCCGCTCGCAATCCATCCAAAACTGGATTACAATTGGGCTTTAGAAAAGCAGATCCCGGAGGGTGGGGGGACAAGCGCAACAAATCTGGCTTTGTAAATTTTGAGTCTCAAATCTTTAGCAAAAAAGCCAAAAGATTTACACAATTTGGAAATAGGCCTGAAATCCATAACTGCTTAAGAGTAAGTCGCGGTCAGAGGGGACTACTGGTTGTGCTTTCCTTGGCAGGAAGCCCCCATTTTATATATATAAATACATATTTCAAACAAACTGGCCCAGGTCACCTTCCTTTGCAGAATCTTTTACAATTGTGAGTAAAAAAACGGGATTGAAATATTGACTCCATTCAAGCAGTGGGTTGATCCAGTAGAGAGACCTAGAACCCCAGATCCTTTTTGCAAAAGCCTGTAGTAAATCTGTGCTTGTTGGCAGAGAGTGGGGTAGTAATGGAGAAATAAAGAAATAGGTCCACAGGTCTGGACATTGATACTTTGAAGAACCTGGTACTGTATTTAAAAGTTTAGTCAACGTGTTTTTTTCCCCCCCTCTTCTTCTCCAAAGGCAGCTGAACTTGCATCGGAATTGTGCTCAAAGGAAGACCGAACTCTTTGCCACCACTAAGGCTTTTAACCGGTAAGGCCAACTTGAGTGTAGACCACCTACCCTCTCAACCCCCTAGGATATCTTTCTCCCTTTAAGCCACCAAAACCTCTTGGCGCTTAGCAAAGGACGGAGCCTTGTTTTAAGGGCTTGCTGGCTTAGAAAACTAGGTTACCCACAGTAGCCTTATATGACTCCTCTCACGCTAAGAGAATGTGTCTTTTATGCCCCTTGTTCCCGCTGCCAATTCTGCAGCAGCTTGGGCCTTTTAGTGGGGTTTTTTTTTTTTTTGCCTGTAAATGGAGTCATTATTTTTACAATGTCATTCTTTTAATAGCTTTAAGTCTCTGCAGCTGCTTAAACAGCCCTGTTGAAATGAGTGAATCAAGAGGCACTCTGCACGAGCTTGCTTTCTCTCTCTCTCTCTCTCTCTCTCTCCCCTCCCCTTTCGGTAGTCAGGAAGACACAGCTCTACAGTTGTTCCCCTCTCTGGCTGGAATCTGTAATTTTAGATCCATCTGCAGAGAGTTCCGAAAGAGAAGCGCCTGTGGCTCGCTTGCCTTTGGCCCCTCCGGCTTCCCCTCCCCTTTTGGTTGTTTTGGTGCCAATTAGCCAGCCCTCAGCTCTAGAGCATTGGCGGCTGATTCCTTATCAGCTGGAGGTACATGAAAGTTTCCTTCCAGGCGCCAGCCTGTCTGCAGACCTGCCTCTGATCTGTTGCTCAAACTGACGGAGCTTTTTTCTTTCCCCCACCCATTCAGGCTGCAGGTGTGGGATCCTGACACTGGGTTCTCTCCAGCGAAAGAAAGAAGGGGGAGGAAGAAAAGAAAGAAGGAAAAAAAATAAAAATAAAAGACCTTGACTGGAGAAAGAATCAGCTGTCCGAAACTGGGCACCCCCTCATGGACGGACCTCCCGCCCGCCCGCTGCTTTTATCTTGCAGATAAACTGTGGAACGAGATCACCCAAGGCAGATTTCTTGACTGGGTCTTCCAATAACAACTTTTTAAAAAAATAAATACCGTGTTACTTTTATCTTCCATCAGCCTGAAAACAAGAAGAAACTGCAGGCCAGGAGTTAGGGGTGCTAGGGGGAAGAAGCTTTCTTGCCTTTTATTGTCAAATTACTCGTTGGATTGCGGCATTGCACAAGAAGGAACTTGGTATCCTAAAGCAGTTTTTTGACAAAAGATAGAGAAGAAGAAAGGGGGGGCGGGAATCTCTTCTTTGAGCCATCCGATTTGTACTGCACATTGTTTGGGCTGAAGAGAGCTTAAAAAAGAAAAAGAATGGACTTCCATTCTTCCACAGTTGCAATGCTTTGGTGTGTAAGAGATCTATGGAGAGAGCTGTTTTTTTGCTCTTTTTTTAAAAAAATGAAGCAAAAAAATAACGCAGCTTGTTTGTATATTTTGGATTATAGTTTTTAAACTTCAGTTTGGGGAGGGGGAAAGGAAGGGATGTTAAGACTATGAAAACTGAACTCACTTGAGGTTGGTTGAGCCTCATGAGTTAAATTGTTGAACTCTATAATAGAGATGACATATGTACCTTTTTTTGGCAGGAAGGTAAATTTGTTTCCGAGAATTGTACTTGCTTTGTAAAAAAAAAAAAAAACCAAAAAAACTTTTTATAAAAGTTTCTTAATAAATTTTAAACTTTTTTTAAATTCCTTGGAAATGCTTACAGGTTTTTTTTTCCCCCCCTGGGAGGGAGGAGAGGTTAACCTAACATGCGTGGACAAATCCAAATATAGTTTGATCACATGTTTAAGTCACTTTTAATGGGATACAATTATTTAGTTCTGGATGCTGAAGAAGAGATCTTCCAAAGACCACAATCACTATAAATTGTAACTTCCTGGAATAATAATAATTCCATTGGCCACTATTTTAAAAACTAAATTAACCCCCACATTTAAAATATTGGCGTTAAAATCTGGAGGCAGCCAATCTGAGCAAAGATTTAGAGCAGCTTCAGTTTGCTGATTCCAGTAAAACACGTTTAAGCAAGGAAGAACGCTTTGTATTATTAGGGTATTTGTCTCTAAAATTCCTGATTGCTGAACAGCTTCATGCAAACTTAAGTTGGCAAATACAAACTGCTTTAATTATTAGAAAATGGTATAATCTCACCAGGGAAAGTGCTGAATATTTGTCAACCAATATTGAGCAACAAATCTATCTGGATTTAGAAGTTGAGCAGAGAACTTATGTTGCTAAGATTCTTCCCCCGCTTTCATCCTGTATTGCTAATGGTAGGCAGATTGATACCTGCAGGAGTTAGAAGTGCTGTGTGACAAATTTGGGAATTACCGGCTCCTTGGGTTTGCAAATTTGCATGCATTCTGCTAGCAATAATATTTTTATTTTGGCCTGGTATGGGAATGAATTCCGCTTGTTTCTGGGGGGGAAAAAGTTTATGGAATGATGTGCAACCTGGCTTAACTGGACTATAGCAAGCCTATGTAATGCTAAATTACATTGGAGATTTGGCTTCATTACCCTGTAGTTTTTCAATCTTCAGTTAGTCCAGGGGTCTTCAAACTTGACAGATTTAAGATTTGTGGATGTCGCCTCCCACAATTCCTCCTCCAGTCATGTTAGCTCAGGAATTCTGGGAGTTGAAGTCCACAAGTCTTAAACTTGCCAAGTTTGAAGACCCTTGAGTTAGTCACTGGACCTTAACCCATCTTGCAGATGTGTACAGGTAGTCCTCAATTTATGAGCATAACAGAGCCCATAATTTATGTCATTAAGTGAGAAATTTGTTTCTCACTGAAGACTTTCCTTGCAGCATTTGTTAAGAGAACCAACTGCAAATTGTTAAATTAAAAATATGGTTGTTAAGTGAATCTGGTTTCCCTATTGTCAGAAGGTCACAAAAGGGGATCACATGGCCCTGGGACGCTGCAACCATCATAAATATGAGTCAGTTGCCAAGCAACTGAATTTTATTCACACGACTGGGGAGGCTGCAACGATTGTAAGGGTGAAAAATGGGCATACTGTCACTTTTTTTTGTTGCTGTTGTAATGGATCAGTCACTAAATGACCTGTTGCAAGTTATGGTTTGAAATAGACCAGTTCCCAGAACCTGGATCCCTAAGCTTCCAGAGAAAATGAGATGTATAAATGTTAATAAATCAATATTGTAGTGTAATGTGATCTGTGATCTAGCCCACACAGATAAAGGAGCCATTACATTTAAAATGTGTTATGAAGTTGTGGCAAAGGGTGCTAATATTCAGCAGATCTTTCTTACATGGTAATGCCACCATGCATACTTTCTGATTCTTTTTATCTCCTTGTAAGCTTAGAGCAGGAATATGCTATATACTATGCTTAAAGTTGATGGTGCAATAGGATGGACCAGGGATTTCCAACCTTAACAACTTTAAGGCTTGTGGACTTCAACTCCCAGAATTCCTCAGCCAGCAAAGCTGGCTGGAGAATCCTAAGAGTTGAAATCCACAAGTCTTAAAGTTGTTAAGGTTGGAGACCCCTAGGATGGAGGAAACAGATGACAGGATGCTGCCTACGGAGTTGCATTTAAAGCAGGTGCACCTAGGATAAAGTTACAGTGTACCTGGGTCTGTTATGTGAACCCAGACAAATTACAGTTTACTCAATAAAAGGAGCTCCATTTGATGGGTGAACAGGCTGTGTATAGCATTACTTCTCTTAAACATCGACTATTTGAGTACCTACTACAGTAGCTGAAGGGTTCTTCTGCATTATATTCAGCTGCAAAAATAAGATGAAGGCGCCCAAAGACATTTAATAATTTCCATTTATGTTTGGTGTTTTGGACAGGAGTGGTTAGAACCAACTATAAAAAGCCACTGAGTGCAAATAGTTTTGGTGTGATACTAATTGCCAAGGATCCTAAATGCCCTGTGGTGAAAGTGAATGACAGATCCTGGGTTCAAAACATCTTGGAGCATGGTAGAAACCCAACAAGGATGCCATACTGTTTCTATTTTTAAATTTGCCCCCAAATTGATTTTAGAGCACTTTAAGACATATGGACCTCATCATTTAAGAGTTGTTCTCATGCTGGTTGGGGAACTCTGGGAGTTGAAGTCCCCATGTCTTCAAAAGTTGCCACTTTTGGAGACCCTGGTTTAGAGGACTAGACTCTGCAAAATGAAACTATCCAATTTTAATCTGCAAAATGAAACTATCCAATGCTGTGTTGGTTGTTTTTATAACTCAAGTGTGATGCGTAGGCATTTCCAGAAAGCTGTTTGTGCAAGGAAAGAATTTATGCATACAACAGTTCAAAGGTATTTGGCAATATTAGGAAAGGAAAAGAAGGCTGAACACCTCCAGCCTCACATCTGATTGATTTATAGCAGCAACTTACCACTTCAGACTCTGTGGACTTCAACTCCCAGAATTCCCCAGCCTGTAAGAGTTGGCTGGGGAATTCTGGGAGTTTCAAGTCCTCACATCTTAAAGCTGCTGTGATTGAAAAATGCTGCCCTTTGGAGATATGCTACTAAGGATAAGGAAAGCATGAGAAATTGCAGTTTAATAGCAATTAGGCTACGACTTTAAAACAAGGACGACAGAATTAAAGCATGGCTGGTTGGGGAATCCTTGGAGTTGGAAGTCCACAGGTCTTAAAGTTCTAGACTGAGAAACATTGGCTTATAGACACCAGCCAATATGATACTTCTTCCAGTGTTCACACCAGTTTCAGGCATGAGAGAATGGCAAAATGTTTAAAGTTGCTGTCTCAAGGCATATGATTTATGCAGTCAGGTTGTCTTTTTTTTTTTCAAAATCCTCAAGCTGTTATTTATGTTTTGATGTACTGCCAGTTCTCTAGTATCACAGGGTAAAGGTCAGATATGTTAACCAGCCTTGCTTGACAATCTCTGCTTAGTCCCTTGCTTTGAATCTCTGCTCTGCTAACATTCAGATAATAGTCACCTTGGAACCTAGCTGGATCCTGCTTTAGCTTCGCTGGAGATTGTGTGCCCAAAACTAGTTTGTAACAGTAACAGCAGAAAGCCTTATTGTGGTTTGTTTGGGTTTCTCTTAGGAGGTTGCATGAAATTAAGAGCCAGCCTCCTTGTCACATCTTATTAGTATCCGGCTGTTATAGTAAAAAAAAAAAAAAAACATCCTTAACCAGACCAGTTTCAATCAGAGCAGCTGTATTCACACATTTTTAACTTCAGTGATTTTAAATAGATTAAAGTATTGTGTGAGGCCAGATTACTTCGATAAGTGTATTCCTCAGTTGTGTAATTTAGAAAATTGGATTAATTCAGTAACCAGATTTAAGTGTGTTAAGAAAATTGACCTATTGAGGAATTGATTATTCAATTGCCCCATCAACTGATCCCATCGCTTTATATTTTTATTTCAAGAAGTAAATTGACGCACTTTCCTGATTTGGGAAATTTTGTGAAACCATTCTTGAAATTGGGATTGTCATTCTTAAAGAATAGTCGGGAGTTGCAAATGATGCAATTTAGTTCAGATCCTTCTTTCCCCGACAACATGAAACAGATCCCATTGGCTTAATTTTTTCAAAACATAGTTGAGACAAGCTGAAAAAAATTAAAACAAAAATGCTGATTCTTGTGTAGCCAAAGAATAATTCTACATCTCCAAGAAAGGATGGTTAATAAGCTTGCAATGCTACAAGTTTGCAAAACTGCTATATACAGAAGGAGGTAGAACAGTGATAAAATAGATCCTCAACAGCTTAAAGAAGGGTGGTCACAGAATCTTAAACTATTCAACAGATACCTTGAGGGCACAAAGTTTAGGATTGCAGAACTGCAGATGCTGACCAGGTGGCAGCATAGATAGAATATATTTTGTTTCTTTGCTGCCCTCTATTGATTATCCACAGTTTTGCAGCTTGGACGTAGTAGTTAAGAGACAGTTGGGCAAAGTTGCCCTTGAGTATGACTGGAACTTATACAAGAACAAGCCTTGAGGGCTATTTGTTTTTTTATTAAATGTATATGCCACCTGGCTCACTATCAAGTGACAGTGTAAAATATTATACATAATATTTTATATAGCAAACATCCTGGCTTGATTCAGTGGTGGAGGCAGACAGTTCCACCCACACTTCCCCCAAACGGAGGCGTGAACATCCTCATTTGTTTCCCGGGGTGCAGATGTCTGTAACTTTGAACTCTTGTCTTCCTGTCATCAGTCGGATGCCTGCTGGGGTAGAGAGGGAACATTTGCCTCCAATCTCTGCTCATAACAGGTGAATGGAGAAAACCTAATCTCTGCAGCAGCCCACCCGCAGAAGCAAAGGACATACCACAGGAAGATGGCAGGTGTTCCCTGCCCCCTTTGGACAGAATGGTACAACCAACTTTGTTGGAAGTCAA